TGTAATCATTTTTTTTTTTTTCAGTTTGCTCAAACACCGTATAAATCGCATAGAATGTGCATTACACATATACGGCTAAACAAGAAAAGTGAAAAGAATTGAGTGAGCATACTCAGTGTTCCTCTAACAGTGTCCTAGATATATTCATCTTCGGAAATGAGTACAGAAAACGGTGGGGGAAAGAGAGAAATTGGAAAGATTCATCTATGTAAATTCCATAATCTGAAAATGATCACCCTAATATATCCCAGATCTTCAATTTTTTATTATTCAGACGACAAGTTAGTATCTGCTACGTAGTGTGCACAGGTAGCAACAATTATTCGAGAGCGACTCCACATTTTAAAGATAAATTAAGAATTAATGATGTCATGGGTAAAAGAAAGCAACTAAGAAAAATTTGTATAAAGTGAACATGTCATGCCATGCCACAATCCCTTATTAAGGACAAGGGAAAGAAATTTCTAAACATAAACCTCGCCGAAGTAATTGGGATGGCGAGAAAACTTCCAGAGTCCAACATTGCACCATTTCCCTCTATTCTCTGCTGAATTCTTAAATGTTAATTTTTGCTGGTCAGCTGTTGCTTCAACGAAAATGCCTAAAGCCCACATTATCCACCCGATGACATCCACAACTTGAATAGACGGGTCTCGATCACTTGCGTTAACAACTGTCACAGGTAAACTCACAGTCCATACCCACACAGCCTGCACGGGGTAAAAGAAGACTACAGTAAGTTGTAGGGGAGAGTACAAGCTTTATTTACAATATATTAGAATAAATTTAAATATAAATGTGGACCTGAAAAACCCAAAAAACAGCCAATTTCCCCAAATTATCGCGCATTTCGTCAAACCGACGGTCCTCACCCCAGCGCAGTATCCTGATTCAAAAAGTTAGAGCCAATATTAAAAAAAAAAACATTATAATTTTTTCAAACACTTGTAGAATAGTCATCTAGATCAAGGTAAAACTTGATCAGATACAAGGACCAAAACTGTCAACTAACAGAAAATCAGTTCGTTTAAGAGAAACCTCATTAATAGAAACAGCCCTAGACGAAGACCCCAGATGACTACGAGTGCAGACAAAACCACCTGAAAGTAAGATAAAAGATCAACTTCAAAAGATATTTAATATTTAATACAAGTCACAATTCTGAGGATACAATAAATTATCTCTCTTTCACTTTCTTTTTTTCAAGGGAAAAGGATGAATGATTACAAGTGGTAGCTACTTATCTAATTTCATGCTTGAACTGTCTCCTGATACTATTCCATATGCTTAACATGCAGCCATTTGATTTTATTTTTGGACAGCTCTATTAAGACAGACAAACTCGTTCTTCCAACATTGTTTCATTTACAGGAATTTCATCTTTTGCACTATTCATAACTTAACTCGGAACTCTTCAAATTAGTATCCAAAGCTTATATGATTGTTCTAATAACGCACAAAAAATGAGAAAGAAAAGAAGAAGAAAAAAGAAAAAGGACTAAGAATGAGATGGAGTTTGCATCCTCGGTTTTATACATTCTGAAAGTGGGTGCGGAAGGCCGAGAGCGAAGCTAGAAGTAAGGACATATAGTCATAGCGAGGAAGAGAACAAGGCTTTCTAGGGCCTGACTGGTACTATTCCTATGAAGTTGAACTAAACTATGTTATAGAGGGGCCTTTATGGCGAACCTCCACTTAAGCAATCACCTGTCGAAAATGCCATGATCCCTTCACAGCCAAGGTCAACACCGCAAGTATAACAAAATTTGTGCTGCCTATTCAAGGAAGCAGAAATTAACCGTTAAACAGAGAATATATATCAACTGAATACATTACAAACAGTGTTCAAACGTACATCCTAATCACGCTCCTACGACACCATATAATTCACATGTCCAAAATGTACAACAACTTGCCAACGACATCCTTCAAACCATCAGGCCTGATAATTCTACTCACTCGTTCCTACTTCAAATTTATCTTTTAATATTTAAACCCCTCTCCCAATCAATGGTTCCAATATCACCAACTGATACGTCCCCATTTCTCGCGTCACGGTTCACATTGGTCCATGTTCTACATGAAAGAGTAGAGAGGCATAATTCTTAACAAATTGACGCATCCCCCACCTCTAACATAACTACATAAGCTCTGAACAGCCTGTCTACTTATCTATTGATTTGGATATCGATATCAGTCCCTTAGTCTTATAGCCAAGTAGCAAATGCAAAACTGAAATATAACCACTTTTCGTAATAGTATGAAACGATAGTCGTTTTGTCCTGTGAAATGACACAATTACCCTTCCAACCAAAAACAAAGTAGATATTTTCTGTCCTTTTAAAAGCTACCTAGCCATTTAGTGATATGATACTACCACTTATCTTACTACCTAAGAGTCCCTTTTCTTATTCAAAAGCATTTCATCCATCACAAGAACCCATTCATTCGACTGCAAAATAGAGCAAATATCAAATTATTCTTCATTTTTTGTTCTGGCCACCTAAATTTTCCAACCCCAACTGAAAACATATGAAAAAAAGAAGAGATTAACATAAACAATGTAAGACTACGAAAACCTGCAAAGTCGGTGACCTTGTCGAACCTAAGAAGAGCGGTGACGACGAAGAAGATCGATTGATAAGCAACCTGCAAAAAGGAAGATGAACAAAATTGTCTGAGTACTCCAACTAGAAGCTTACAATACATAAAGAAGCATGTTGAATTGAACAGTAATAGACATACGTACAGTTACAATTGCAGTGAGGGCCAAGAAATGTGAGTCGATCACAGTTGTTGTTCCCATTGCCGCGCGTTTTTCTTCACGATTGGAACAGATACTCCGGTGGCTGTTTTGCAATGGTTTTTATTACTTGTTGCGAACGTCGAATGATATATGTGGTGTGCATTGAAGGAGATTTGATTGTCCCCGCTGGAGAAATTCCCACCTTTACCTTCTTTTATTTATTTTTCAATTCCGCCAGATTTATTTGAAAGACATAGTCAACCAAACATAGCATATACTTAACTCAATTTTATCATTATAAAAAAAATACGGTTTTGCTATTGAGTCAGTCGGATGACTTGGCTTATTGAGCCATCCATAGTTATTTACTTATTTATAAATAGTGTATTGACACATGTCTGCAATAAATATATATTGAACACGTGTCAGTACATAAAGTTATGGATGATTCTATAAATGAGCGGTCCAGAGAATTTCTAAAAAATAAAATATAAAAATCAAACATAACTCATTTTTAACATAATTCAATTATTTTCAATATTAACATAACCCTCACTATATTCAATATTACAAATAAATTAAATAGTATCAATCAATTACTCTTACAAATCACATCAACTTTAATTTACTATTAATACACTCACATAATTGTAACTAATTATCATTTCTAATTATTTTTCTCCGAGTTTTTCATCAAATACCTTTAATTATTTTGTTTTAATAATATATTAATTTAAAAAGAAACTCAATGTGATAACAATGATTAAAAAAACTCAATCAAAAACCAATCAAACACATATCTAATTTTCTTCTTTTACTTACTAGTACGCATCATGTGAATGCAAGTTGTGACGGGATAACAATATAAAAAATAGTATTATTGGTTTTTTTTTCGGAACGATAGATATTATTATAAACTAAAACGCACAAATGTGCAAAATTATAACACATAGCTGAATAAAGCAGCTAATAACTAAAAAGTGGGAGGACATGTCAGAAGACTGCCTAGAACCTCAACTAGTCAAGCTAGAATAAAAAACTAGATTCATATACAACAGACAAAAAACACTAAAACAAAACCACCACAAAACTTCCCACAGGAGAATAAAAATACTCCCCACAGGAGAATAGAAACGGTCCTCAAGAGATAATCCCTGTACACTGGCGGGCTCGCACAAAACTGAGGTCAACGGCCCAAATAAAAAACACCAGACAAAAACAACACAGACTCAAAACGGAAAACCAAAATAAAAAAAACCTAAACTATATTAGCCCTCCCCCACAATAGGAAAAGATCCACTACAACCCTGCCACTGCAACAGAGAGTTTCCACCCGAAGAAAAGCAAACCGAGCCAAGCATCGAGACTTGAAACTGTTGAAAACGACTAGCAAGATCTGAAACTCATATCCGAAAGCTCACCTAGGAAGAAAACCACGAACCGATCATCGAAAATCAGCCCCAAAATAAACCACCCCACCTACCGCAAAGAAGTCCACCGACAACCTAAGCTTATGATCATCCACATCGGTGTGGCCTGCCTCCCAGCCACCAGAACATCCAACCGCCCTCCACACCACACTGCCCAGCTTCGGCTAACACCACTAGCCGGAAGATAGAGCAACGCCTCTCCTGACCCAACACCAGGGCTAAGAGAAAAAAAAAAGGCAAAAAGAAAGCACAACGCCGACCACCACCGCGCAACCGCAGCATGCCGCCCTAGCCATGCCACACTCCGATACCACACCCCAAACGGGAAGCACAGTAACGGGCTGTGTCCGAGCATCCAAGAGCCAAAATACCGACGGAGCTGGCACGCCACCACCGACCACGACCAAAACAACTAGTAGGCCAATCTTACCAACACCATGTAAAATTAGGAAAGGGGGGAGAAGGGAACCGACCTCAATATCAATTTCCATCCAGCGGAAGTCAGAATATGCCGCCCAGCCCCCACCATCGATAACAGAAAAAAAGACGACCTGAATATTCGCCGGAGCGTCACAGCCTGACCAAGCTTTAGTCCGCCGCGAAATCCCTACCGAAGCGAGTGGCCGGGGGCCATGACTAGCGGCGACCGCGACAAAGGCGAGAGAAATTCTCTGCTGGGAGAAGGCGGATGGCTAATGTAGAAGACGACGATGCGGCGAAAAGGGATTAGGGCAAAAAAAAAAAGCAAATGGCCATAATTATGTGCACCTATTGCTTTTGACCGTATTATTGTTGTTATGATGCAAAAATGTAATATAAAAACTAATTGTTTAAAGATAAATACATCCCCATATATGTTGTGTACAAATTATTCTTTTTATCGAGTACCGAATCAAAAGATTCGATCCCCGAGTCGATCTCACGAGGAAGGTTGTTCGGATTTCAGCTTTGATATCGATCACACATAAAAGACAATAAAATTCTAAACACCCTAATCAGATAAAGATTGGATATTATCAACTAATAAATAAAGAACAATGCAAAAATATAAATCTACCTAAAAAAAGAGTGAAACAAAGACGGAGAAGCTAGGGAATCGGGAATAATTGATTCAAGTTCTAGCAAAGTCGGGCAATCAATTGTTCGGTTTGAGATTGACACTCTCTCTTACACACCTAGCGGTTCGCTCCCAATAACTCTTCGTAACAAGGGATTAAATATAGACGAACAAGTTCGAGGATACAATACAGGCCAATTATCCCAATCCCAATAACCTTTTGTAACAAGGGACGGGTCATCGACAAGCACGTATTTCAATAAAAAACACATAGATTACTCAGCTACGAAATTATCTACCTCATGCGAGCCTAGTTCTACGACTTCTCCCCTTCTGGTTCTATAGTCGCTAATTAAATTAGAAGAGAATTAATCAACTAATCATATCGAATCAACAAAACCCTAACTCGACTAATCAATATTCAATTATTTCTAATTGCAAGATCGAAGTGTCA